AGACACAATCTTCTGGGCATTTCCATTTCTTCTTCGAACTCAGGTCGAGTGCTTGCCAATGCAGTCATCTCAAGGTAGTAGTCGATCACATCCCGTTCTCCTTGCTTGATTTGCCACAACTTGGATTTGATTTCGAAAATCTGTGATGAATTTTTAGAATCGAAATACATATCCTTCACAGCTTCGCAAACGTCTTTGTAGTGGGGTAGGAACAAGTATGTCTTTCCAATTGAAGGCTTCATGGAGTTGAAGAGCCACGCAGTTACCATGGAGTTCTCCGATCGCCATTTTCGAAGGAAAATTGTGTCGGTTGAAGCTGGCATCTTTGTCTCTCCAGTCAGGTACCCAAGTTTTGATTTTCCATCAATGACTAGTTTGATAGATTGAGCACACTATCTGTAGCTTTTTCCTTCCAATTTTTCTATCGTGAGTCGAATGGATGAACTTTCAATTCCTCCACTCACAACAGATGTAGCCTCTGTTTCTTCATTGAAAGATTCAGTGGTCATTGATCCTATGTTATTAATTGTTGATTCTGTCATTGGAACGACTCTGATGCATAAAGGTGAAAACATGAAAAAGTTATTTCACTGTAATTTCATATTGATATTGTACAATACATATTTATAGTAGACGAAAGAAATAAAAGAAAGGAAATAAATCTCTAATTACTTTACAATTTTCTAAGTAAAATCTTCAACAATCTCCCTAATTATATTCCCAATCAATTCCGGATTTCCAATAGAACTGAATGAGTTTGAACACTTTCTTTTCTTGTTTAGGAGTAATAAACTCTTTAAGTTGCTCTATATATATTTTTTCTTCTGACTCATCATTCGAAAATGTTATTTTAACATCCATTTGACAAATTTCAAGATTGTGCAATACAACAATTGCAGTCAAAACTCTAATCGAAGTGATTCTTATCACTGGTGAGTATTTTTCGAAGATATCAAGGCTTTCCTTTCATCTATAGCCTTTTGCGATCAACCTAGTTTTGTATTTATCAATGGATCTATCTGATAGAAAACTTTTAAGTGATTATCGATCCAAATCATCAATAATCAAACATTACCGATTTAACCATCCATGTTGAAATCAATGAGAACATCAAAATA